GCCACAAATGCTAAACAAAGGTTTTCAAACAAATACTGTGTTCTAACAATCTGAGTAAGGTGCGAATTTCATACAAACCATGTCCAAGACTATTCTTTTCATTAAGTTTACACTGGTTTCAACTTCACCAAACCTTTCTCAAGCTGTAGTTTGATCTGTGCTTCATAACCTTTTTTTGTGTGTGTTCGGTACTTCTCTTGAAGATCTTCAAACTTCTCAACAAAGCCAATGTGCTTACTTCACTTTGACATCTTCCAGTATCTGGTAATATTAAACTTCTTCAAATTCTTTTCTCTTTGAGGTTCCCTGACTGGTACTTTTTGGGTTTTCCTGTGCTATCATTCTACCTCTCTTTAAATACTCCTTTTCCTTCCATCTCTTAAATGTAGTTATTCTGCAAAACACAATCCTTGATGAATAGACTGCATTCCATGATTTTAACCAACAGTTCCACATAGCTGACGCTTAAATTTCTGGTTCTAATTCCTGTGTCTACTATCAAAAGAGAATACTTATCTGGCCAACTGTCACCTAAATCTAAATATGCCCAAAGCTGAACTTGCCTCCTACAAATCATTCCTTCAATCAAACCAATTCCCTTTCTCAAATCTCTGTCTTTCATCAATGGCACCACAACTTTCTCAGTAACTAAGGCACAGATCTTCAGTCACCTCTGCCCATTTTGTCTCCTTCAGTCCATTAAAGCACTGAAATCTTTACTTAGGCAGCCAAAATTAGGACATGACCTGAAATAGTAAGAAAAAAGAAAAATGCCACCACAATAGAAAAGCAGTTAAAGAAAAATAGTTCGAAGATTAAAATATTGGGATTTCCCATATGTTGCTAGATTTGAAAAGAGTATTTGAAGTAGGTGCTGCACAAAAATTCAGATGTCGATTATCATACACATCCAATTATCTTTACCCATTTCTGTCTTTACAGACATGCCTTCCTCTCTACTCACCAATACCACTGCTGTAGTTCACACTTTCATTACCTCACATCTCAACAAATCTTGCCTCTCTTCCAACCCATTTTGTTCTTCCACCTCTGACATTAATCATGCTAAAGCACATTTATTAAGCCATTCACTTAGCCAAAAATCTTCAGTGATTCCTCAAACTACTTGATCTGTCATATAATCTTATATTCCACTCCTGGTTTTGGAAAGCCCTTCCATTTCAGATAAATCCTCACAGTTTACAGACCGAACGCACCCACGTAAGTATGAGATCAAGAAGACAACTGGTAGATCCAAATGTATCTACGGCTTCCTTTTTGTTCTCTTTCTCTCCACATGTTTTTCTCCTCGTAAGTTTTCTTCTTTTCTACCACTTTCTTATACTCACTGTCTTTTCCACATTCTTCCTTATGCCAATGTCACTAGCAAGAATTTATAATCCCTAGTAACTCCAAGAACTAAAGAGATTATTGAGAACTATTCTAATCAATAATCACCAATAAAAAAAACATCCTCAGACATAACAGAATGGAAAGTAGAAGGAAGGGGACCTTGGTTGTGGAATAACCATGTGTCCAAGGTTCTCAGTGCAATTCTAAAATAAGGTTAGAAGTGAGGCCAAACAAGTTCTCAAATCTTATGATGGAGGCCTCATTGACAGCAAGGTAAAGATGCTCTCCAAATGGACAGCAAGGTAAAGATGCTCTCCAAATGGACAGCAAGGTAAAGATGCCTTGCTGTCCATTTATTCAGGAATATAGAAGTGGCATAAACATAACTTCTTCCAGTTATAGTTTTCTAGATTTTTTCCCCTATATTTCTTCATCAGCTACACAAGGTCCTGAGTTTTCCTCCAGCAAAGATAAATATCTGACAGAAAAGAACTGTATTGGCCATTGTCTTCAATATAAAATTAAGGAATCTTGGAAATTATTTAACATCAAACTAAGGATATCTTGTATTTATAGAGCCAGTGCTTAGTTAGGTTAAAAAAAAAAAAAAAAAAAGACTCTCTGTCTTTCTTAAATCTCACATTTTAACTGCATTTCCTTAGGCCATATTTGTATCTTCAAAGAAAATAAATTTTCTTTCCCATTTCACAAAATGTTGTTTTTCACAGAAAAGAAACAACCCAACAATTCTTACTACTATACTCACAAATAGTTTAAGCTTCAATCTGAGGTCTATAGGTTTCTCTCTCTCTCTATCTCTATCTCTCTCTCTCTTCTCACACACACACACACACACACACACACACACGAAACTGCTCTTGATTGTAGATGTACACACACATAGACACAATCCACTCCTTTCTCCATTTCTCCAATACTTTTTACTCTTAAGGAGGAAAGAAGAATCGGTTTAATTGAAATCCAGATATTTTAAAACTTCTCCCTTCCTCTGTCTCTTCTTTCAATGAAGGAAAAATTAAGGGTTCTATGGAAAAGGGAAGGTTATTTGTATGCTGAGGGTATATTTGTGTGAGAATGTAAAAAATAGAAGAGTGTAAGGAAGATGACTTTCTGGTAAATGAATTGTGTTTCCATTAGGATTCCTCTTCCTTTCAGTTTTTCGCATCTAACTTAAACATACTAATCCTTCTTAGGGAAAAAGAACTTAGAACATTTATAACCTATCACTGCTCCAGTACTGGAGAACTGGATGTGTGCCCTTATTCAGAGCCCTGCCCTAAGCAAAATGTAAAATGTTTGGTTTATGTTGGCAAAAATCTATTTTCTCTTTATGTTCTTCACCCTTTCTTTTCTCTTTGATTACATGTTCTAGAAATCTGGTACTCTGCACAGTCCTTGGGAATAATTTCTAATGATAGAATGATAGATACTATATTATGAGGGAATAAGGACAGTTATTCCTTGAAATAATGTTTATTAAGCACCACTATAGACAATTTTAGCCTTCCTTGAAATTCTAATCATCGTTCCTGAAGAAAAAAATTCTGTAATCAAAAGTTTTTTAACACTGGATTAAGCAGGCTCTTTAATATGCTAATAAGCACCACCAACCTCCCCCTCCCCTGTACCTGCTCCCTTAAAACCAGCTCTACATACAGGAATTCCCAAACTTATTTGACCAGCACTATCTTCAATGAGTATCTATTTACAACCTCACAAAATAATTTGGGAACAGTTATGCCTGGAGAATTCAGAGGAAGTAGAAGGTATTTATGCTGGAGTAGAAGAATTAAATACAGTCTCATAAAAGAGTGTTTAAGCCAGATAATGAAGGATAGGTAAAATTTAACTGTGCAGAAATGAGAAAAAAGGCACAAAGGATGCTAAGTGTGTCTCAAGTCCCTTGCTTTCTCCCTCTCTCTCTCTCTCTCTCTCTCTCTCTCTCTCTCTCTCTCTCTCTCTTTTAATTTCAATAGTTTTTGGGGAACAGGTGGTATTTGGTTATATGGATAAGTTCCTTAGTGGTGATTTCTAAGATCCTGGTGCATCCATTCTGGTGCACATGAGCAGTATACAGTGTACACAATGTGTAGTCTTTTATCCCTCACCCTCTTACCACCCTCCCCCGAGTCCCCAAAGTCCACTGTATCATTCTTATGCCTTTGTGTCCTCATAGCTTAGCTCCCACTTATAAGTGAGAACATATGATGTTTGGTTTTCCATTCCTGAGTTACTTCACTTAGAATAATGGTCTCCAATTCCATCCAGGTTGCTGTGAATGCCATTATTTCATTCATTTTTATGGCTGAGTAGTATTCCATGGTGTGTGTTCATCCACTTACTGATCGACAGGCATTTGAGTTGGTTCCATATTTTCCCAATTGTGAATTGTGCTGCTATAAACATGCATGTGCAAGGTGTCTTTTTCATATGTCATTTTAAGTCATCCACCTACTTCACCTATGCTGAAGTTAGTTCACTCTGGCCTGTGCTTCAGGCTTAACCTGATCTGGGGCACTATCTACTGTTCAGATCCCATTAGGACCCAGCTGCCCAGACAGGCATGAAGACACAGCTCTGCAGAGGAAGGGAAGGCAACGAAATGAGATGTTAGGTGGGAAAAGAAAGGCGGTTTCTAGGCAATAGAAGGTTGTAAGCTCTTCCAGATATTTTCTTAACTCCACATTCTTTTGATCTAAGCAAGTTAATATATCTCGTCAGTTGCAGTTTTTAAAAGATAAAATACCTAACAGTAAAAGATCTTTACTTTTCTATGTATCTATAAACAAAATTTCTCAAATGTGTAGACTATACAATTGCCCATTTTACTTGTTTCAGATGTAGCGATGTGTACCGTTAAGTTGATAAAAATTGTTTTCCAGAATAAAGTGCATGTAAAACATACACAGAATGTTCCACTGAATCAAATATATTTCCTTCACTTCTGAATCTCTGAGGCAAGGGTTATCAGAGAATAATATTTTTAAATTCAAAACTAAAAACATCACTTAAATGCATGCATGAAGGCAAATCAATGGGTGAAACTTGCTATAGAAGTATGAGAGGATTAATGTTCCCAGGACATTGCTAATTTTTTGAAATTTTATCTGGTTGTAAAAGTAATGCAGGCCAGGCACAGTGGCCCACGCCTGTAATCCCAGTACCTTGGGAGGCTGAAGCAGGTGGATTGCCTGAGGTCAGAAGTTTGAGACCAGCCTGGCCAACATGGTGAAACTCTGTCTGTACTAAAAATACAAAAATTAGCTGGGTGTGGTGGCATACACCTGTTCGTCCCAGCTACTCAGGAGGCTGAGGAACAAGAATCGCTTGAACCCGGGAGAAGGAGGTTGCAGTGAGCCAAGATTGTGCCACTGCACTCCAGCCTGGATGACAGAGTGAGGCTCTGGCTCTGTCTCAAAAAAAAAAAGTAAGGCACATTTTTTTAAACTTGAAAATGTCAAGAAGCCAAAGGAAAAAAAAATTAAACCTAGAGATATCTTTTATTTAAATAATTTCTTTAATACTGAAAGTTAATTGCCTCTCCATAATTTGAGGTATGGAAAATTGAATTTTTTAATTGTAATAAAATAGATATTAAATAAAACTTGCCATCTTAACCATTTTTAAGTGTTCAGTGTCATTAAGTACATGAAATAAATATTTGGCATCCAGAAAACGGGGTTTTCTTTACCTAGTTGAAAAAACCTGCCATTTGACCCTTAGACAACAACAAAAAGTATCAAAGAGGACAAAAGGAATATCCCTGTAGAATATTTAAGTAACAAATCAACAAGACATTCTGTCCTGAAAGAACAAATGTTATATACATAATAGACATTATAAACATCACCTACTTTATTATAAGGTTGTCAAGGACTTTCTCACATTCAGGCTTCTTCACTTCCTGCTTAATGCGGCCATGTATTAGGGGTGTAGAACCCTAATTTAGCATGTGCTACCTGTAATCACAGTGTTAGAAATCCTGGCCAGCAGCCCCTCTCCCTGATGCCACACACTAAACACTTCCTCTAAGGCTACTTGCCAAGCAATCCCACCTTTCCAGGGAAAGGGAGAACAGCCTGTCTTTGCATACCCTCTCTTGAAGACTCTCAGACTGAATGCAAGGCTCCAAAAAAAAGTGCTCTTATCAAACCTCTTCTATTAAAATCAAGCACTGTATAACTATATAGCCAAAGACATTTCTAGGCTCAGTCACTTCAAAACAAGCAAGCTCCAGGAAGACTATTTCTAAAATCACACCCACAACTTCAGCCTCCATTGAAAAGTACCTACACATTCTTTGCCCAGAATGCAGTGCTTTTGAGTCTTTCTGGTATAAAGCAGCAATATTGCCAATTTCATTTTATGAAGAAAGAAAAAGGAACAATGGTTTAAATCCCTTGTCTAATGTTACTTGGAAATCACAGTGACAACTTAGGAAAGGAACAGTTAGGAAGGATCAAATTCTCTTTGACCCAATTAATGCACAATTACATTTAAGAAAGAAAAGAGGAAGGTGAGAAAAGGCAGAAAGAATAGTTCTTGGCAGCAAATCACCAACAAACGGCCAAAGGGTCACATATATTCGGTTAAGTATCCAGTGCAGAGGCCCAACAAGAACATCTTCAGGCAGCTGAAGGGTATGGAAGGCACCAACATAGTGAGCTGAGAAAAAAGCACCCTCATCAAAATCTGAAGCAGAAGCCAGCTTTGGAGGAGTGATAGCAATGCCGCAGTCCAGAGGAACCTGCTTTGGGACTGATGTAATAAAACGATGCCCACTCAGTGCCACATCAAGTCCTGGCAAGCCCTGGGTGTTTACCAAGCCTTGCTTCTCCCTTTGCCCATTTGCACACAAGCCTGTTGCAATGTTTTTACAGCTGCCTACAGGCATTATAGGTGGTCTACTATTTTTTGACTGAAGAATTATCATTTGCTATGATCCTACTAAGTGGAAGGGAAGGCACTGAGTTACCTTGAAGATGCTGGGGCTTAAAGGGCTTAAGTTCTACCTGAGGTTCTCCAGGTAGAACGTCACAGAGTCAGGATTCAGAACCATATCTGTCCAGCTCTGAAGCCCATACCTTTGCCACATTTCCATTGTGCTAACCTCACAGAGGGTACAATTAAGAATGTTCAATTTAAGCTCATAAAGATCTCATTAACATATTAAAACAGGAGTTGGGAAACTTTTTCTGTAAAGGGACCAGATAGTGAATATTTTAGGCTTTGTGAGTCTCATAGGTTTTCTGTTGAATATTCATTTTTGTTTTCTCTTACTCTCTAAAAACATAAAAACCATTCTTAGCTCATAAGCTATACAAAAACTGGCCACAGGCCATACTTTGCCAAGCCCTATGTCAGAAAACACAATCCAAGCAACGCTCAATGATTTTGATGGATGAGAACTGTAGTACTGATTACTCACAGACATCTTGATTCACTAGAGTGCTTTCATTTCAGGATGGGGAGTAACAAGGGAGATAGAAGAGGACTGGTATTCAGTCTAGTCCCTTCATACACATTCCGTTGTTAAGTGTAAGGAACAGTGGCCCCTTACTTAGACCCCTTCATTAGAGTAGTTTGACAAGCTATCAGGCATTTATTTCATTTGTTTCCACTATTTCCATCCCTTTGCATATTCCAACTTAGGCATTAATCTGTCATTGAAAATCAAATGCCTTCTTCAGTGTAATTAGAACTGATTACTTCAGAGGGCCATAACATAATGAATAGAAACCCAGGGATATTTAAGCTGACCATGGGCTCTTTCAATATGATCAAAGGCCTCTGGGGTTCTATTATTTGAAACTACAGAAAATATTTTCCATTCACTTTATGACATTTGTAAAACAGGCTTCTGAGTACTCCCTGAAACCTACAATAACCATAAAGTCAACCTAACAGATGTTGCAAACTAGATCCAGGTCATCAACATGAGAGTGCATAATGAGATGCATTTTAAACAACTTCAGATTTTGCTATGCAAGGCAAAATAATATACAATTTATGACCTTCTTTTCTTTTTAGATACTAAACTTGCATCCAGGATTTGCTGACAGGTCATCCATATGCAAATGCTAGTAGCTATATGCCCTGTCAGTTGGCTGGCTGACCTCTGTATTGCCTTGGTCTGGGCAATACAACCCAGAACAATTTTGGACTTTGGTGCCAAGTCCAAATGTTTCTGGTTAAAATATTTTCAACTCTGCTGATTCATACCCAGCTGCTTGGGCCACTAGGGACCAATTTAATAGCAACAAATGTTATTCCCATTGCTGAGCTAAACCAGTTGGAAACCAGAAGACTCCAGATTACAAAGGATGGTAACTTATTTCATAAGACTACATGTGGAACCACATGGCCCATCTGAAGGGTAAATACATGTAGGCTGATTTTAATCACAGGAACAGCTAGCAAATTGAGACAGGAGTGAGAGCAATAAAAGTAGCTCCCTTCTTAGATTTGCATAATCACCTCTTGAGGGACAGGACAGTCAGGATGAAGACCTGGCCCAAGACCTACTCACACACATTAAGCAGAGACTGGGAGAAAAGTGACCAACTGCAAAAGCCAAATACAGAGGTGCAGTCAAGCAAGGAAATGCTTTCCTGTATACGAAGGGTATGGTAATGTCAGTCATGATGCAGGATACCAAGCAGAGATAGCAGATAAAGGAAAGGAATTAAGATGTGAATTCCTCCTAAGGGCTCAGAAGCATGGTAGGTATTTTACATCCAGTATATTATATAACCACTACAAACATGTAAGATAGGAAACAGTACCCTCATTTTACCTCTGAAGAACTGAGGATTGGAGAGAAACATACCTAAGACTACAAGTAAGATGTGCCAGGCATAGCATTAGAGCTAGGTCTGTCAGGGATCAAACTTGCCTTGTTCATTCCACCAGGCTTCATTCTCCTCAAGAAAGTACCAAAACACAGGATGGAGTGAATGACATCCAGAAGTCACATAAGTAGGTGGTATTGGTAAGCAGTTGGGCTATAAGCTCAAGCCAGGACTCTACTGTACTATTGGAGAGATGGTAAGAGCAAGCCAGAACACAAATGCTATTATCTGTAATGAGGTCATACTTCAGCACCAACAATCTTCACAAAGTCAGCTCCCAAGGCCCAGTGCTATCAAAGTGAAGCTAGAAGTCTGGGCACAAAGTAGAGAGTAAGGAGAGCTGAGACTCAGTGGGCACCATGAGAATCCAGGGGGTCACCTGTCTGGAAATGTATTCTGAACCCCTGCAGCTGAGGGGTTGAAACTGCTTATCCAGATTGGCCTGAAAACTAAAGTTGAGCCTTCAGATAAGAAACTCCATAGAAGATGGAGGTAAAGGCAGGAATTATGAGGTAAGGATGGGAAATTTTTTACTTCAGAGCTGTGGCAAATATAATCACTTTTTTTGGCATTTCTTCATCTACCAAACTGCCATCATGGCACTGTTAGTGGCCTTCACTTCAGGCCAAATCTCCACAATCAAAGGAAGAGGAAATCAGGATAATAATTAAGCAATTCAAGAAAAAAATATGTATTTTGCCAGAATCAGATCAGAACTTCATATTTCCAAACAGCAGCCTCATGCTGGCAGAGCTGGATTGCAGATTCTGGGAGGCATGCTGGTGCCAGGCACACTGACATTAATAGCTGGCAGCCCTTCCCTGCCCTGGCTGACAGCGCACACACCTTTCTGTGGGTACTGCCAGCACTTCTTTACTCAAGTCATCTGATCAGTTCCCTGATCATATGGGGGCAGGGAAGAAAGCTGCTGTCAGGAGCGATGAGTAGAGGGACAGGTGACCAGGAAGGTAGAATGCCCCACAGTGACCTTCTTCTCCGCTTCAGAAAGGCTGCTCTACAAAGGTGGGAGGAGGGAAGAATTCCAAATTCAACCCCTGATTCACTAGGCTGTGAAGAGAGATCCAGCTGAGTGTACTACACTAACTACTAACTGATTAATCAGTCCCCTTCTCTGCTCTGTGAGAGAAGCCACTGTCTCGAGGCACATAATTACATGCTGAGTGTTCTCAGGTGCCTGAAGGTGACAGCCAGGCTGGGCAGAGATTTGAGTCTGGCTCTTTTGGACTGGCTGCTTCTCCTCCAGGTCAAGTGATGCCACTGCTCCCAGCCTGAAAATGAGCCAGCGGGGGTCAAAGAGCGGGGTTGGAAAGGGAGGCCCCCCAGCTATAGGCCAGAGCTTCTCAGGCAGCCACTATCAGGACTCTACCATGTTACCTGCACTGCAGCTCTCATGAAGCCAAGCTTCCCTCCCCCACCCTCCCACCCCCAACACAAACACGAAAATCCTGGCAAAGGGCAGTTGGAACAACCAAATTCTTCCCCCTTAGCCTCACAGTTAGCTCAAAGGAGAAAACAGAGCTGAATAAGCAGAAAATTCTTAGAAAATCTAAATTACTACACCAACAAGGCACTCCTGCCAATTTAGTGTAGATAAATCAGCTTTCTCATTAAGATAAATGGGCAATGTGAAAAAGATCACTTGTTCAGATACCAAAGATTAATGGAAAGAGATTTTCCAATCAAAGAGTTAAAATAAATCCCAAGAAGTTTTCTGATCAGACAGTAATCAATCCTCTTCATAACACTTTCCCAGAAAAGAGATCACACAATTAATATTACTATCTTATAGTCTTTATAAACAAAAACAATTATTCTTTAGACATAAATTTCTAAAACTCCCTCAATTCTAAACCAAATGTCTACTGACCTCATTCTCAGTAGGAACAAAGTTACCATTCACAAAAATAAAAGTGCCCATACAGAAGTTCTTTCACCTCAATCTAATATTCTCCAAAATAAAGGTAATCCCAATTCATAAATATTTCCTCAGCTCTTTCACTATTTTCATTTTTTTCCTGAAACTTCCTCCGAACTAACAATGAACTCAGGATTGATCATTTATTAGACAATGCTGCTGGTGACAGCTTTCACCAAGTGATAATGGCTTTTCTTCCGGGTGCGTTATCCATATCAGACACCAGTTAATGTTCTGTTTTTGTTTGTCTTTAGTCCAAATAGCAGTCCCAAACAAAGAAGAATATGAAAGAAAGAAAAGCAATTGGCATTGGAAACTCAGTAAATGCCTAAGTTAATTTGTAGGGCGCCTGAAAAGTAATCCACTTGAAATTTAAATCAAAATGTAGCAAGGTAGGAAATGGTGCATGGCTACACCAACATAAACTACCAAAATTATAAAAAACAAAAAACAACTGTCAATAATTGCACATGACATTGCTGATTAGTAGCTTGTCAGCACTGTAGCTTCCAGAATTGTTTGACTGTTGTAGGAGGAATAGATTTCTTGAAGATGGGTGCCTACTTGTTTAAATGCCCATATGTCACCAAAGTTAAGTAAAAAATGTTCATCCTGAGTGATTTTCCTAAAATCATCACCAAATATTTTAATCTCAAACTGAATCAGGGGAAACTGCCTTTCTTTAGATCATCCTAAATGTCCTAGGCCAGTGGCTCTCAACCTTGGCTGCACACTGGAATCACCAGAGGAGTTTTAAAAACTTGATGCCTGGGCCCCAGCTTCAGAGATTCTGATGTAACTGGTATGAGGTGTGGTGGCCTGGATATTAAGATTTTTTTTTTTTGAGACAGAGTCACACTCTGTCACCAGGCGCCAGGCTGGAGTGCAGTGGCACGATCTCAGCTCACTGCAACCTACGCCTCCTAGGTTCAAGCAATTCTCCTGCCTCAGCCTCCTGAGAAGCTGGAACTACAGGTGCACACCACAACACCCAGCTAAGTTTTTGTATTTTTTAGTAGAGACAGGGCTTCACCATGTTGGCCTGGATGGTCTCAATCTCTTGACCTCGTGATCCGCCCACCTTGGCTTCCCAAAGTGCTGGGATTACAGGTATGAGCCACAGCACCCGGTCGGATGGTAAGATTTTAGGGACATTTTCCCCTCCTCCCTCTCTCTCTCTCCTCTCTCTTTTTCTCTCCTTCTCTCTCTCTCCTTCTCTCTTTCTCTCTCCCCATCTCTCTCTCTCTCTCTCCCTTTCTTTTTCAGAGACCAAGAGGTCTCACTGTGCTGCCCAAGCTACATTCAGATTCTGAGCTCAGGCAATCCTCCTACCTCAGCCTCCCAAGATGCTGTGTCTACAGCCTGCCACTGTGCCAAGATGTTACTTAGATTTTCAAAGCTGTCCAAGTGATTCTAACATGCAGCTAAGGTGGGGATTCATTGCCTCAGACAATATTATGACATGTCAATAAAAGTATGTATTGAAAGCTACTGTGTACCAACAATTGTGACTAGCTGAATAAACAAAAAAGTGTAGCACAGACTCTGCCCTCCAGACCCTAGATCTAAGGGGAAGAAAGATATGTAACACAACAGTTAACACAGAGTATGCTAAGTGCTAAAACTGAGATGTAGATAGCAGTGAAGGGTACTCTGCAGAGGGTATCTTTACACAACCAGGCGGTGAAAATTAGGGATGGCTTCCCAAACACTGTGATCAAGCTGGGTCTTGTAAGCTAAGTAAGAGTCAACCAGGAGAAGGAAGTGGGGATAGGCACTTCCAGAAGAACATTTAGAATGTCCAAAGGTCCAGAGGCTAGAGAGCACAGCCCCTACCTTGGATGTCTGCAAGTTGTTCTACAGATAAGGCAGAGAGAGGTTGTGAACACAAGAAAGAAATAAGGCTGGAGTGGTTTTCCAGGGTACCTAGACAGCTAAGACTAGTAATGCAAATGGGCCAAGCAGACTGAGCGTGAGACACCAGTTGGTATGGCAAACTGTCAAACCAAGGATGTCAGAGGGGGGAGGGGGTTGTTCTTGTTGCTTTTTTCCAGCCATGGCAAGAATATGGGCTCAATATTGACATATGTTGCAGATTTTCAAGGGATGCTGAGAATCTGGTCCTTATGTGAAATTTACAGGTTTTCAAATGCGGAGCAGAACAAATAAGTCTGCAGGCCAGATTCCAGCTATAGACTGTAGGTATGGGTTATACCTTTAATTACACACAGATTTAAAGGTGGGAGAGGTAGTATCTGATTTAGATTCAAGTACATTTTATTTTATTTCATTTTATTTTTGAGGTGGAGACTCGCTCTGTCGCCCAAGCTGGGGTGCAATGGCATGATCTTGGCTCACTGCAACCCAGCCTCCTGGGTTCAAGCAATTCTCCTGCCTCAGTCTCCCAAGTAGCTGGGATTACAGGTGCCTGCCACCACACCTGGCTAATTTTTGTATTTTTAGTAGAGAGAGAAGAGACAGGGTTCCGCCATGTTAGCCAGGCTGGTTCTGAACTCCTGACCTCAAGTGATCTGCTCACCTCAGCTTCTCAAAGTTCTGGGGTTACAGGCGTGAGCCACCGCCCACAGCCTCAAGTACATTTTAAATGTGAAGTTGAACAGCAGTGTGGCAGACAACAATCTGACAAGCATAATAGTACAAAGTTTTCCCCAGTAATTCTAGTCAAGGTACCACTGTTCTGAAATTAGTCCTCTAGTTTTTCATTTCTCAAATTCAATACAGGAATAATTACTTTTAACAAAAGAAGAAAAAAACAATTTGACAAATATTAAGATACACATTTAAAAAACACACTTATTAGACTTCAAAGTGATATAAATTACACTCAGTACTGAATTACATATGCCAGTGGAATACAGAGGTGGTAATCAAAAATCACAGATGATCTGCCTAGCTGGGCTACAGCTCTAGACCCTGAGCAGCAATCCTCTGTAGGCTGGGAACACAGCCAGCTTCCCAAGCAGGGCAGTCTAACAGCAGGAGGTGGAGAACCCAGATGCCAGGAGAAGGTCACACTGTCTCCAGAGAATACTTCCCTTCCTCCATTTCAGTCCCACCTCAAACTCTTCCCCAAGGTCAGTTTCCCAAATGTGAGGAAGGAGGCAGATCTCCCTTACACATGATGATCAGTCGTCCAGTACGATAGAGGCCAACCACAAATGTGCATCCTCCACACACTCTAAGAAACTATAATCCATTTAAAGTCACAAGGCAAAGCTAGAGTGTACATTAGCCCCCATGCATGGCAACCAGTGCACATGAAGAAGATGCTCAAAATATAAAAAGGCATTTGTGTAAATTTGGCAAAGGTACATTTCACAAACGTAGTTATCCATAAACAAAATTATGAAATGATAACATTTGTGTGACCTAACAGATTTATTTGGGAAAAATAAAATTCAAATTAGAAAATGAGCAATAGTAAGCAAAACATCACAGATACGTGGCTACAACTGATTCTTAAATAACATAAATGAACAGAGATACTGTCCAAAGAAAGACTATTTATTCAGTAGAGAACTAATGCTTGATTTTTTTTCTTCAGGTTTTCTCAAAAAGAGAAAACATATAATTACCATGTCTGGTAAAAATGCCTGTAGTCTCTGCAAGTCGTTTCTAATTTTAGATATGGAAATGGGATTCTCTCAGGCATTCTGACTTTCAAAGATGGGTTACTGAACTTTGAAATATTAAATCTCTGGAAGCTTAAACAATAACATTTAGAATTCAATAAAAACAATGATCCTTTCTTTGACAGGGAGGAGGTTTTTTAAAAGTTAAATTATATTTAACAGTCTCTATGCTAAGGGTCTCTCAGTCTCAGGTTTTAAAAATTAAATACTACACAAACTCAAAAAAGATTTCTAAAAACAAAGGAAATATGCCTTTGAACGTGAAGGCTCAAAGTTTAACTTGAAAAACTGTTCTCTATCCATCAATTGGCATGCATAATTAAATAGCTAAATAAAGAAATAACAGCAGTAAAAATCATTAGAAGACACTGTTTAAAAAATAGAGTCACCTAAGTGGAGCCATAAGGCCTGCCTATCTATGTTATTATATGTCAATACCATGAACACTTTTCATTAACTTTTATCTAAACTTGTCTGACACGCTATTTTAATTTTTTCTTGATTCAAAAATTATTTGTACAAAAATTACCCATGATCTAACATACAACACGAGTTCTTAATTTCTGAAGTTATTATTCAGAGAAAATAATTTTGATTAAACAATCATCAGATGCTGGAACAGGGATGGTCCTGCCAAAGAGAGAGGATTAGACTAACGACACCACATAGAAAAGAAGGAAAGTGAACAGTATGAGCATATGACTGCCTACTTTTAGGTGAGGGGAGAACATGTCTTTCTACTGCTCCTGGTTTATCTTTTGAGTTAGCACCCTAAATGTCCCCTATGCATATTTTACACTGAGATGGTGAGTCAACCTTAGGATCCGCCTTAATGCTGCAGCCAGACCAGTTGGCCAGCACTGTTTCTTCTATTTTCACCTCACTGAGCTTTCTGGAGAATCCAGGTATCTTGAAGTTAATCCATGAAGGGACGTTTCCCAGTCTTTATCTTAATAGAGTCCGTGTTCTAGCTCCCAAGAGTCTGTACAGCCACACCAGTGATATGAGTAGTAAGACATTTTAAGTTTAAAAAAAATGTTTAATTGTATCTGTTTGTTCACCCAAACTCTGTATTTACCTCCTTAAAAAAAAATTACCTTTTAAAAACTACATTGCCCCAGGAGGACTACTGCTTTTGCCAGGATACTCAGGTCTGTGAATTTTTCAAAGCCCATGCTCTTTCTATAATACCACACTGTCCCCTAGTATAACTTTATTAGGCAGATTTAAAATTTACAGTATAAACAAAATATGAATGTGTATGTATCCATATGCATGTTTTTCTCAATGCATCTGCCACTCACTTGCCCTACCACAAGAATGCTCTGAGAACTGAAAAAGAAAGTGAGAATGAAGTGGCCAGCCCAGAGCTCAATAAACATTCGTGTTCTTCCTAATGATCATATGAGACCCTGTGGTCTGCCTTTTAAAAATGAAAACGTTCTAACACGGAGTAAATTGCTCACCTGCATGGGGTCACACCAACACCACGAAACCTTAGTTCCAAGCTGGATTGTAGGTTTCTAGCCACTTGCTCATCTGGCATTCCACAACCTAGTTACATAATGACCAGATGCCTCTCTCCTAATTACATGACCAGGTACTGTCACAGATTCCTGCTCAGGGTTAGGAACCCAGGGACCAAGGGTGAGAGAAAGTAAGGTAAAACCATGAGGGTGGTGTTGAAAGGAAACTACAGCTTTCTGAAACACCGTGAAACCAGAAAGACTAAGATGAGCCTCTCTGCTAAGGAAGCAGAGAGAGGAGGAGTATTATAGAGTTAATTCGTAGGACAAGATGTCTAAGTAGAGAATGCTGGCCAGAACCCGACGTAGCCACCAAGATACCTTTGTGGAGTCATAAGGAAAGCACTTCTGAAACTAAGGGCTTGCGGGTGGGAGGTTGTTGCTTTCACAACCAAGGCAATGGATAGAAATAGCTCTAGGGCAGATTACACAGTGGCTAAAAGTAAGAAGGAACAGGAAGGAATGCCGAAAATGACTATATAAGTTCAAACTATGTACGAAACAAAGCATGGAAACCTATACAACATATATAATCTGTAGATAATATAAACCCCAAACCTCCCATATGACAGTCAGATTACCTCAGGCTGAGACTCTGTGGGAGAGGAAAAATACTAAAAGGTAAATACACCAGAGGCATTGTAAAAACAAAACAAAACAAAAAACTGCAGAAGTCCCCTGAGTAAAATCAAGCAAGTGCAAGTTATCTCAGCATAAACAGGCAGGCACTGCTCTGCTGGAGGACTGTTCTATGCCAAGTTTCATCACATCAGCACAAGAGCTCCCTGGCACATGGGAATAAACATAGTCTGAATCATTTGCTGGTGTGCATGAAACATAGAAAATATAGATGATTCTGCTTTAAATATTCTTCATCCTGTGACTGGCCATGGACTGGTAGTCTTAACCTGGACAGTGTTCTCTTCCCAGGATACTTCTCTAGTCCTACCACACATAAAATCCATTTACTTAACAAATTTCACTTTGCCCCAAGTGCAAAATGTCCTTCAAAGCAAAGGTTTTATGTTCGTATTCAGGAAGGGCTGACTCTGGCCCTTAAATGGATAAGCCTTCTAGATAGAAATCACCTGTGTTTGGGATAGTCTAGGTAAGTACTGTAAAAAACATGACAAATATCTTTGCTTTTTCTCTCATCAATATTAAAGGACAAAAATTTCCTTATGTATATACATGTATCACTAAACATTTAGTAAACCTTACCATTTCCCTGTTGAAAAAATAGACCTATTTATATGTCTATGTTTTCTCAAATAAATTCTGTAAGCTTACCTATGGCAAAGCATAACACTCGCTGAACAGGCTTCACATGCGGTAATAAACAAAAAACTAAAACTTTATGCAGTCTTATTTTTAAAAACCACAGAACATGTGAACTGGATTCTATTTTAAATATGTATCTGATCCAAGTGTGTTTAAATGTTGCTTAGATTGTTAATCGTTTTCTACCTAAAACAAAAATACAGAAAATACGTGAAAAGTACAGAATTATAAGGATGCCAGACCTTCCAGTTCTTAGAGTACATTATTAATCCAAGAGCACGTAGGTGCAGAATCAGAGGTGAAGAAACAAATAGAGCAGAAATAAAACAGCATCTTAGGTGAGTTTTAAAGATACATGACAAATCACCTGGTTTGCAAGTGTAGCTATCATCAGAATTGTTAAAATAAAAGTGACCACAACTTTGGCTGTTAAAATATTACATGCTATTCTTTCAGAGCAAACAAAGAAATTAAAAAAAAAAAAAAACTCAGAAGATTTTTCCATACATCAGCCAACTGACTTATGGCTCCAAAACATTCTTGATATCATTTTAGGTTACTAAGAAAATCTACCTCAATATATCATGTATTTTCAATTTCTCCATTAAAAAAAGTATTAATGCTTCTCAGAATAGGGGATTTGGAAAAAAAAAAGTAGTAAAGATTTTGACAACGGCTGAAGGTCACGAAGAATTGATATAAGTAGAACATAGGTCTCTCCTTGTTTTCCCAATCCACCACACAACAGTGACCTACAGACAGGAATGTTAATGATACAATTAAAAGTTCTCTAAAATTAAAACTGTCTAAAGGAAAAAAGCCTCAGAAGAAATCATATTTTAATATGAAACACTAAAGGCTAAAAATGGTCACCTCTAAATTGAATAATATCCTGAGATAACAATAATGGACAATTTAAATAATTGTTTTTAAAATCAGTATGTATACTTTTTTCCTTGAAAAGCGGAAGAAAAATGTGGCATGAATAAAAAATAATATTCCTTTATTCATACATTTAACAAATGTTTATTGAGGACCAAATGCAGGCCAAGTAGTGTCCTGGGCACTGAGGATACAGCAATTCACAAAAATTCCCTGTCCTTGTGAGACTTACATACTAGGGAGTGGAGATACACAATACACAAACAAATAAATAATAGGCCAATAGATACTGAGTGGCATGGAGAAAAACTGAACACAGTAAGGGGTTGGGAAGTATCAGGAAATAGAAAGGAAGTCCTATTTTATATATAGTGGTCACAGAAGGCCTGTCTGACGGGTGACATACAAGCAGAGACCCAAAGAAAGAAAAGGAGCAAGACACATGGAAAGCAGGGTAACATGTTCCAGGCAAAATGAACAGCAAATGCAAAGGCCCAGGATAAGAACATACAGGCATATCTCAAAGATACTGAGGTTTTGGTTACAGACCAACACAATAAAGCAACATCACAATGAAGAGAGACACAAAAACTTTCGGTTTCCTAGTGCACATAAAAGTTATGTTTACACTATACTGTAGTCTATTAAGTGTACAACAGCATTATATCTAATAAAAAACAATGCATATACCTTAATTAAAACTAGTTTATTGCTTTTAAAATGCTGATAATCACCTAAGCCTTCAGCAATTTTGCTGGTGGAGGGCTTTGCCTCAATGCCTGATGAAGGTGATGATTGCTGAAGGCTGAAGTAGGTGTGGCAATTCTTAAAATAAGGTTGCAATGAAATTTGTTACCTTTCATGAAAGATTTCTCTGTAGCATATGATGCTGTTTGATAGCATTTTTCCCACAGTAGAACTTCTTTAAAAATTGGGATGCTTTATCAGCAAAGTTTATGTAACATTCTAAATCCTTTGTTATTTCAACAATGTTCACAGCATCTTCAGGTGGGTAGATCCCATTTCAAGAAACTACTTTCTTTGCTCATGTATAAGAAGCAACTCCTCATCTACTAAAGTTTGATCATAATATTACAGAAATTCAGCTACATCTTTAGGCTCCACTTCTAATTCTAGTTCTCTTGCTATTTCTACCACATCTGCAGTGACTTCCCACTGAAGTCCTGAACCCCTCAAAGTCATCCATTAGGGTTGGAATCAACTTCTTCCAAACTCCTGTTAATGTTGATATTTTGACCTCCTCCCATGATCCACAAATGTTCTTAATGGCATTTAGAATGGTGAATCCTTTCCAGAAGCTTTTCATGTACTTTGCCCAGATCCATCAGAGGAATCACTATCTATGGCAGCTACAGCCTTAGAAAATGTATTTCCTAAATAATAAGACCTGAAAGTCAAAATTACTCCTTGATCCATGGGCTGCAGAATGGATGTTATAGTAGCAGGCATGAAAACAACATTAATTTCCTTGTACGTCTCCATTAGAGCTCTTGGGTGACTGCCAATGAATGGTAATATTTTGAAATAAATCTTTTTTTTCTGAGCAATAAGTCTCAATAGTGAGCTGAAAATATTCAGTAACCATGCTGTGAACAAATGTGCTACCATCCAAGCTTTGTTGTTCCTCTAGAGCATAAGCAGGGTAGATTTAGCAAAACTTTTCAGGGCCATAGGTTTTTTGAAATAGTAAATAAGCATTGGCTACAACCTAAAGTCACCAGCTACATTAGCTCTTAACAATAGAGTCAGCCTGTCCTTTGAAGTTTTGAAGCCAGATATTGACTACTCTCTACCTATGAAAGTCTTAGATGGCATCTTCCTCCAGGAAGGCTGTTTTGTCTACAATGAAAATCTGTTGTTTAGTGTAGCCACCTTCATCAATTATTTTAGCAATATCTTCTGGATTACTTGCTGCAGTTTCTCCGTCAGCACTTGCTGCTTCACCTTGCACTTTGATGTTGTAGAGATGGCTTCTTTACTTACACCTAATGAACTAATCTCTGCTAGCTTCCAACTTTTTTTTCTGCAGCTTCCTCACCTCTCTCAGGCTTCAAAGAATGCAAGCATGTTAGAACCTTGCTCTGGATTAGGCTTTAGCTGAAGAGAATGTTGTGGCTGGGCTTGTTCTTCCATCCAGGCCACTAAAACTTTTCCCACATCAGCAAGAAGGCTATCTTACTTTGTTGTCTTTCCTGTGTTCACCGGAGCAGCACTTTTGATTTCCTTCAAGAACTTTTCCTTGCATTCACAGCTTGGCTGTCTGTTGCAAGAAGGTTAGCTTCTCGCCTGTCTCAGCTTTCAACACACCTTCCTCGCTAAGCTTAATCGTTTCTAGCTTTTGATTTAAAGTGAGAGACGTGGGACTCTTCCTTTCACTTGAACACTTAGAGGCTATTGAAGGGTTACTAATTGGCCTAATTTCGATATTGTTGTGTCTCAGGGAATAGGGAGGCCTAGGAGAGGGAGAGGGACTGAAGAATGGCCAGTCAGTGGAGGAGTCAGAACACACACAGCATTTATTAAGTTCATTGTCTTCTATGGGCATGATTCATGGTGCCAGAAAACAGTAACAGTAATATCAAATATCACTGACCAGAAATCACCATGACAAACATAATAATAATGAAAATGTCTGATATATTGAAAAAAATTGTCAAAATCTAACAGAGACACAAAGTAAGCACAAGCTGTTGGAAAAATGGTGCCAATAATCTTGCTCAACATGGGGTTGCCACAAACCTTCGATTTGTTAAAAAAAAAAAAAAAAAAAAGGGGCGGGGCAGTGGGTCACGCCTGTAATCCCAGCACTTTGGGAGGCCGACGCGGGTGGATCATGAGGTCAAGAGATCGAGACCATCCTGGTCAACATGGTGAAACCCCGTCTCTACTAAAACTACAAAAAATCAGCTGGGCATGGTGGCGCGTGCCTGTCGTCCCAGCTACTCAGGAGGCTGAGGCAGAAGAATTGCCTGAACCCGGGAGGCGGAGGTTGCGGTAAGCTGAGATCACGCCATTGCACTCCAGCCTGGGTAACAAGAGTGAAACTCTGTCTCAAAAAAAAAACAAAAAAACCCTGCAGTATCTGTGAAATGCAGTCAAGTGCAAAGAAACAAGGTGTGCCTGTACTTGGAGTGCTGAGGAATAGGAAAAGTGGCAGAGTAAGCATGGGAGAGTGGTAGCAGATGAAGTCATTGTGTTTACCCTAGATTATCCAAGGTATTTGGAAATAACTGCCTTTAGTAAGTGAAGGGAAAGAAAGGCAGGAAGAGAGAGTGAAAGAACAGGAACTACATTTCCTTTAGTTCCTACTAAGTGCCTGATAAAGTCTGTATATATATCATTTGTTCCACATTCTTATCCTATAAATTGGGTGTTTCACACCAATTTATATACCTGTTTCACAGATGAAACTCAGAGAAGTCAGGAGAAAGCTAATAAAGGGTAGAATCAAATTTAAATGCAGATCCTTCTTATTGCAAAGTTCAAGCCCTTTGTCATTTTCCTCTGCTTCCTTGAGATAGCCAAAGATAACAGCTGAGATAGCCAAAAATAACAGGCAGAATACTCAAACTAATTGAGGTCCCACAAAGAGCAAAGTAAAGTTGCACTGTTGATACGCTTATGATTCTTCTATGTGTACATTCTTCTCAGGGATTCTTATTTTTTTTCAGATCACCCAAAGGAAGACATTTAATGTGTTCTCTGATATAAGAGATACTTTCAAAAATTGAGGATAATGGTTGGGACAGGAAAAAAGGTAGCAGGGATGCAGCACAGAAATACCTGTCACAAAGACTAGGCAGCTCCTTCTACCCTGCCCCAGACCCCACCCAACCTCCAGCCCTCTGCAGAAGCAACCTCCCAAGAACAGAGCTATAAATATGCAAATCCAAAAGTTGATGACAATAGAGGCAAGAGACAGGTTTTCCTTTGCTTTACTCCAATTTTACATGTGGGCATTAGGGCAGACATCATATATCTTTTGTCTAAAACATACATAAAATGTTCAAAGAAAGGAATAGAGATTTATTCTTTTAAGCATTCCCAGACCAGGGTTTTCCTAGGCTCCCAGGTTTGAATTAGGAGAAGGAAGTTGAGAAGAGTAAGTCCCCTGCTGCTGGTTGGTTCCCTGATTCAGATTTTGGGGAAATCAGTAAAGGGATTTCCCTAAGATCAGCCTTATTAGGGCTTTCTCTGGGGAAATAACTAACTGAAATCACTAGCACTGAGCGCAGGTTAGCAAAGCCACTCAGAGATCAAAGAGCTAGAGACAAAACCTGGGGAAGCCCTGTGAGACTTCATAAAGAAGTAAGCGAGGGAAGCTTGCAGTCTTCATAAAAGTTATTATATGTAAATTTTTGGTGCCACAAAAGAAGTAGCACTCAAATATAAATTTCCTCAGCAAAGCAATTTACTTCCATAGAAGGGTGCATCTCACAGATGGAGCAATGGCAAGCACACACCTGGACAAGGGAGAGGAAGGGGTTCTTATTCCTGACACAGGTATCCTCTACTGCTGTGTCATTTTCCTATTGGCTAGGGTTAGACCACACAGTCTAAGCTAATTCCGACTGGCTATTTTAAAGCAAGGGTATGAGCCTGAGTGGCTGGGTGGATAGGTTGGTGGGAAGGACAGTTACAGGACAGGTTAGAGCAGGTGACCAGGGGTGACTCAGGTCAAAGCAGGTTACCAGGGCAAGTGACTAGAGCAGGTGGCTATAGCAGGTGACTGGGATGAGTGAGGATGGAGTAGAGGACCAGGGAAACAGATGTGAACTACTGATTAGAACTGGTGGAAAAGGTTGTTTACTAAAACCACAAGGAAGATAAACTTTAAAATGGAGAATTGAATAAGAGAGCTGAACATAGTGATATACTGATTCTTTGAAGATAAACTTGGAGTTCACTATATCTAACAAAATGAAAAGGTAAACAAGGATAAAATTAAGCAGTGACTGAAGGCAGTTTACATTCACTTGGAGAAATGTACTTAACGTGTAAATGTGATCTGTATTACTTTTAAATTGTTTGATATTGTGTCAAGATAAATTTGCCATATAAGATTACTCATTAGTGTTTTATCTTCTAAACTGGCTCTAGAAACATGATAAAAAGGCACACATAAAGTCTCCCATTTTGCAGCTAGAGAAAATGAGGTTGGTGATGAGGCACTGCACCCAACTTAAAGATCACAGTCACAACTGGGGTCTGAGAGTTGTTTTGCTAATCCTAGGGCAGCAGCTCTCACCCAAGGGCAATTTTGCCCCCAGCAGGGTACTCAGCAATGTCTGGAGTGAGTTTTGTTTGTCAGAGGTGGGGAGGTTGGTTGCTACCATCATGTAAAGCCAGGATGCTGCTAAACAAACGTCCTAGAGTATATAAGACAGCCTCCATGACAATAAAACATTATCCAGCCCAAAATGCTAACCACGTTAAGACCAGATCTAAACCCTGGTCTACAGTTACTTAAAAAAAGGGGGTGGGGGAGGTGTCTTTTATAAAAACAACAAACTTTGAAAAACTATTGTGAAAAAATGCTTATTGATGGATTGGAATTTTGAAGAAAAGACATGCCAATACATTATACAATCTACTATGTATGTAGCACTTTCCCATTTTCATCTTTTCCAGTCCTTAAGTAAAATTTCTTCCTTCCTGGAAATCTTATTCCCTGCAGGGGGATGAGGGTCACCTGAAGTTAAAGCAGAAGCTTTTATGTTCCTCAGGGAGATATGAGCCCAGTCAAGCCAACCCAGATTCATCTTCCCCCAGGTTCAGCCACTGCCTCAAATCAGATCATTTCACCATTAACCCCCGGGTTTCTTCTTTCTCTAAAGCAAGCTTGTCCAATCCTCTACCTGTGGGCCACATGCAGCCCTGGATAGCTTTGAATGAGGCCCAAGCACAAATCTGTAAACTTTCTTAAAACATTCTGAGAATTTTTTAGCGATTTTAGGCTCACCAGCTATCATGTTAGTGTATTTTACGTGTGACCCAAGACAATTCTTCTTCATCCAATGTGGCCCAGGGAAGCCAAAAGATTGGACACCCCTGCTATAAAGTGAAGATGACAATCTTGCTCTCAAAGGGGGTGTCTGGATTAATCAATCCATTAAGAACTTCATGCTTTACAATGAGGACAAAAGAGGCTAAGTGTTTTAGCAGTTACAAATGATACCTCCTTATTGCTTGGAGCCCTTGAAGGAATAATAATAAAAATATGCAAATCAAACTACAAAGTGAACATCTTCTCCTCTCATACCAAATGCTTTTCAGTGAATATTCTTGCCTAAAATTTCATGTTATTTGCATATGACTGGAAGCTAGAGTTTTATCATGAGGAGAGCTATTGGACACAGGGACACTAATCACAGTAGGGTTCACAATTCCTTCGACCAACTCAATGTCCTTTGCCCACTCATCAACTATCAGATTTAATATAGTGATCATCTTTAAGTTGACAAGTAATTTGACATTCCAGAACACAGAACCTGAATATATATGATCTGAAATAATCCTTCCATAAGCCAAAGTTGAATCTGCCCAGATAAAAATAACAACAAAACCTCTGTTAAAGAGGCCCCAGATACAATGGACTCTCTGTGGCTGACGTGCTCAAAGTTAAAACAGAACCAGGCAGACATAGCTGGGTGAGGGAGCAGTCATGTACTCTATTCTCGGAGAGATGTAAAAATATCACAGGACCTCCCTTTCTACAATCAAGCCAAACCAGTTCCTGCTCTCAGTGCCAGGACAAACTGCAGCCAGAAACCCCACACCCCAGTCTATTTGTAAAATAAACATCTAACAGAGACTTCTGGTTTCCAGCTTGGAAACCCAACCAAATAGAGCTCACCTGTCCAAGCCAATCAGAGCTCAGCTGTATCGACCAATTCAGCTGTCTTGACAAATCAGAACTGAGCAAGTTTTTAAAATTATTATTATACTTTAAGTTCTGGGGTACATGTGCAGATTGTGCAGGATTGTCACATAGGTATATACATGCCATGGTGGTTTGCTGTCTCTATCCCCGCCCCACCCCGTCACCTACATTAGATATTTCTCCTGTTATCCCTCCCCAATCTCCCCACCCCCTGCTATCCCTCCCCTAGACCCCCACCCCTCAACAGACCCCAGCGTGTGATGTTCCCCTCCCTGTGTCCATGTGTTCCCATTAGAACTGAGCAAGTTTTAATCCTTCATTTGCATAAACAAGCCTGATTGAGAACATGGGCAGGAACTTTCGCTGGAACCCTGTCATTGTTCTCTGGAATGCCCTTTTGTTTTACACCTAAGGCTGCCACTCCTCAGTTTGCAAATTATCCATTGAAATAAAGTCTCTTTCCTTCAAATTCCTTTTCAGAGAACTTTTGATCATATCCCCAAAGTTAACCTTCTAAAAGTCAATCCTTGAAAGAATATTTCATAGAAATCACCATGCACAACCCTTTACTGAGCTTATTTTAAATCCTCTACAAAGAAAGGTGCAGCTCTCACCCTATTTCTTATCCCAAAACACATTAGAAGGCCTGACACAGGGGCACCTTTTTATTCAACAGAGTAACCATAGGTCATCTCACACACCACAGATCTAACGACTTCACAGAAATGTGTTGATGCAGCACTTCAAATATCAAAGTCCTTCTCACCAACAGTGAACTCTGTCTCTATATGGCTCTTTCAAACTTGCTTGTCTGAAGAAAGGTCTCATCCAACTCCACAATTCTATTTTTCTAATATTTGAAAGGTTAATAGATTTTAACAACCTGTAAGTTTTAAATCACTTACCTTTCTACGTTCTCAAGGAAGTAGAGACCTAAGCGTGCTCAGCATGTTGTGATTTCCTTCCAAATAGTGAAGTATGAAAAAGAGCTGGGCGAGGGTAATCTCATAGGTGAGAAACCTGACAAACACTACCTCAGCCAGATAATCAAGGTTAACATGAAAAGTCATAAATCATATTAGTTACGCATTCTTGATATGATACCTCTGTGACCTTCCTTCTAAAAAACCATAACCCCAATCTAATAATGATAAAAACATCTGACAAACTCAAATTGAGGAACATTCCTCAATGAGCTGTGCTGGTTTGTAATCATATATATCAATGTGCTGGGAGGGTGATTGTGGCCTGAAGACAAGAAAGCTACTCATTTGGGACCCTTCCAGATCTCATCCTCTGTAACTCCTCATTGGCTGTATCCTTTATTAAAAAAAAAAAAAAAAAAAAAACTGGAATCGTAAGTATAGCACTTCCCTAAGTTCTGTGAGTCATTCTAGCAAATTACTGAATTTGTAGGTAGTTGATCAGAAACACAGATAGTCTGGGAACCCCAGAGTTTGCAGCTGGTATCTGAAATAAGAAGAACCTTAGAGATGACTGTGCCCTCAGCCTCTGAAGTCTGAACTAACTCGCAGTTAGCTTCAGAACTGCATTGCAAGTATGGACTTTAGTTAATAATAGTGTATCAATATTGGCTCATCAATTGTGACAAATACACTACTGTAAGATGTTAATAATAGGAGAAACTGGGTGTAAAGCATATGGGAACTCTGTACTATCTTTGCAACTTCTGTGCAAACCTAAAACCATTCTAAAATTAAAAGTTTATTTTTAAAAATACATCTTTATTTGAATTCTAAGCTACCAAATCACAGTCAAATAAGTAATGTTTGGTACTAAGTTGTTACTTAAGTGGTCATAACATTTCATATTATACCATGATAGCCAAAATTTTATCATAAACTAAATGACACTAAGAAAAATAACTAAAAGTTAATTATAAGAGCTTACTACTTTAATCACCTCTAATTAGCTAACCCAAAAAATTAGTTATGCATATTAGCCTCACTTAGACTTTGAATCCACCTACTTCACTCTATTACAGTAAGGCTTTCTTCCTTGTTCTCTCTCAAAGGATAGTATTTTTTTTTGTTACTAAATAGAAGCAAAATTTCTTTAGATCAATTGCAGATTTACATTCAACTCTTATAACCTCTATATTACTCAGCATTTTCAGTCCAAATTTAACATAATTGGACCAAAGGTAGTATTTCTTCCTAAACTGTTTATTAAGGTAGGTTAGAAGGCAAGAAGAGGAGAGAACATAAAATGCATTGAGAACTCACAATTTTCCATGTGTTATGCATATGTTACATACCTTATGTCATTTAAATGTAATGATTTTCTTTAAAGTAATTTAAACACTACTGAAAACACAGAAACTACTTTTAAGCTTAAACATAACCGTATCATACTTCACAGAGCTTTATTCAATTGACTGTAAATTGTACTTGATGTTGAGCTATTCATTAAATTTAATCCAGTTCCAATAAGACTATTCAATAAACATAATAGACATAGATTGATTGCTTTCCTATCTTACAATTTTCAGGAGTGCAAAATAAGTGCATCATCATGAACTGGGCAAATGAAAGCTCCCTGAAAGAGTTTGTACTACTTGGCTTTTCAGATAAGCCTTGGCTACAAACGCCCGCTTTTGTGGTCCTGTTAATATCATATACAATCACCATCTTTGGCAAGGTGTCCATCATGATGGTGTGCATTCTGGATCCCAAACTTCATACACCCATGTATTTCTTTCTCACTAATCTCTCCATCTTAGATCTCTGCTATACCACAACTACAGTTCCTCATATGTTGGTAAATATTGGGCGCAACAAAGAGACCATCAGCTATGCTGGCCCAACTCATCATCTTCCTGGCCTTAGGTGCTACTGAGTGTCTCCCTCTGGCTGTTATGTCCTTTGACAGTTTTGTGGCTGTTTGCAGACCCCTTCGCTATGTAGTCATCATGAATTACTGGTTCTGCCTATGGATGGCGGCCTTCTCCTTGCTTGCTGGTTTCAGGAACTCAGTGCTGCAGTCTTCCTTGACCCTTAACATGCCCATGGTCACCAGGAAGTGTACCACTTTTTCTGTAAGGTGCCTGCCCTTCCCAAGTTGTTATGTGCTGACACAAAGCCTATTGAGGCTGAGCTCTTATTTAGTTCTTCTAATTCCAGTCACATTGATCCTCATATCCTGTGGCTTCATAGCTTAAGCAGTATTAAAAAACAGGTCAGCAGAAGGATGGCAAAAAGCGTTTGGGACATGTGGGTCCCACATGATTGTGGTGTCTCTTTTACGGAACAGCCATTTATATGTATCTACAGCCACCTTCATCTACCTCTAAGGAGAAAGATGGAATCATCACACCCCTTCATCTACAGCCTTAGAAATAAAGATATAAAGGAGGCCTTCAAGAGGGTGATGCCAAGAATCTTCTTCTATAAGAAGTAAAAAGTACTCCATTGTGATGAGAATCTTCTTAGTCTCTCCTTATTTTCAATGATAATAACCTTTGAACTCATTTTCCTACTTTCCAGGCTCTGGTGATTTCACTGAATTCTACCAACCCTTAGAAAATCCTTCCTCTGTTGGCCAGATGCAGTAGCTCAGCCTGCAATCCCAGCATCCTGGGGGGCCAAGGTGGGTGGACCACCTGAGGTCAGGAGTCCGAAACCAGCCCGGCCAACATGGTGAAACCCCGTCTCCACCAAAAACACACAAAAATCAGCTGAATATGGTGGTACACACCTGCAATCCCAGCTACTCAGGAAGTCAAAGGATATTATTATGAACATTACCTGGGTGCATGCTGACAGTAGACTATCAGCACAGCAGTTCAGCCGTAAACTAACACACACCCATCTATCTTAGGCATATGAAAACTGCAAACTGCCCTTACACCAAACTGCAGACGCTGACCCATGAGATCCCTCAAGATCTGGTCGCTGGCTGAACAGTTCCCTCCTTCTCTTTCTAAAATAAAACAACCTCATGTCACCTTTGTAGTAGCTCGTCCCTCTGCCTGGAATGTTCTTCCTCCAGATCTTAATACAGCTGACCCCTGGCTCCTTCTTGTTATTCAGCGCTCAGTGAAATGACGTTTTATCCAAGAAGACTTTCCTCTCCATCCAATCTAAAGAAGAACTCCTAACACTAATTACTTCTTCCTGTTTTTATTTTTATCACATTGTTAATCATTATCTGATTATGTTCTAGTTTAATCTGCTTTTTATTCTTTCTACCTATCCACTGGAAGACAAATTTCATAAGCACAGGGACCTTGCCTGCCTTGATCACTGTTCTAATGTCAGCCCCTAGAACAACACCTGTCACAGAGTAAGTGCTCAGTGAATGGTTTTTTGGTTGAACAAACAGATAAAATGAAACTAGATTTAAAGAAAATTATGCAGTGAGACTAAAATATAAGCTATTAAGAGAAAGAGAAATAAATTTACTAAGTCCTAGTTACACTCCAGTTTCTTTGGGTACATATCTCATGAAAGATTTACAAAACTCTGTAAAGGGCATATTATTATCCCTATTTACTATTTTCTACTATTTTCTTTCTTTCTTTCCTTGTTTTTTTTTTTTTTTTTTTTTTTTTTTTTGAGATGATGTTTCGCTCTTGTTGCCTAGGCTGGAAAGCAGTAGCATGATCTCAGCTCACTACAACCTTTGCCTCAGGGTTCAAGCAATACTCCTGCCTCAGCCTCCTGAGTAGCTGGGATTACAGGCATGCGCCACCATGCCCGGCTAATTTTTTATATTTTTAGTAGAGACGGGGTTTCACCATGTTGACCAGGATGGTCTCGAACCCCTGACTTCAGGTGATTTGCCCGCCTCAGCCTCCCAAATTGCTGGGATTACAGGCGTAAGCCATCATGTCCAGCCCCTATTCACTATTTTCAGATGAGAAATAGAGTCTAGGAAAGGTTTAATAAGGAGTTCAATGGCAAAAGTGATATCACTATGCATCTGACTGACTCTAAGCCTATGCCCTTAACACTCCT